GTAATTGTCATAAATAGTAGAGCTTGTGTCCCTTCGTTGGGCAGCTCCCAGTCCTGCTTTTACAGCAGTGCGGCGACAGAGAGAAGTCGATCTTGACCCTGAGTTCACACTCCTTATCGCATTTTTCCATTGCTGAATGTTGCCTAAGCAGGAGATACTGAGAAAGCCTGTCTGCTGTGTGACAGCTGTCCGGGGGCTGGATGCTTCCCATAGAGATCCACTATCATTTGGCCTTGCATAGTCGTTACGTGCGAGTTCGGTAGAAGTGAGAGAAGGGAGAAGTTGGACCAATGTCACTGAAAATTGTGCAGGTGCTCCAGTGTCTCTCGAGGTTTTCAGGCGGTTGACTTTAGTTGATGGCCCAACGTTTCGACGTGATCCTCTTTTACAGAGGTCAGGATTCCACCGTAAATCCTCTGTCGCATGCGGATGCTACTCAGTACCGAATGTGGAAATTCCTTTCTATGCTGATCTTTCAGTTGTGAGCGAGTTTTTCTCTATGGAGCTTAGATGCATGGTTTACTTTAGACACCCCCCCCCCTCCCTATCGTTACCAGCCTCTATTTTTGCTAAAAAGTCCCTTCGTAGGGTACGATGGAGATCAGACTCGCCTATGGCGATTCGGTTTACCTTGCCAAACCAGGGCAAGCTCACGGGCTGTCCGTAGTGGTAATGCACGCAGATAACCGAGATCAGCTTGAAGTTTGATAGATCTCATATGTATTAGAAGCCTAAGAACTGCTGCCATTTTACTGGTAGCTACTTCCTCGACTCGGTAGCTTGACCGCAAGGGTATTCAAAAGGTAGAATAGGACGGGAAGCAGTATGATCCAAAGATGAGCCAAAAAATTTTGCGTGAACTTACTGTGCGCCTCTATGGAAGAAGTTCAAGAACGCTCTCGAGTAAGCATCTATAAGGTTTGGAAATGTCAACATTCTTTTCCACAACTTTTTGTTCAAGGTATTGCAGAATTTTTATCCAACCTTATACTTCCCTAAAGAAACTGAAATATACCTTCGGAGCCTGCGTTGGCCTGGATGGTGCTGGAGAACAACTGACAGAAGCTTCCTTTTTCTTTCTAGCCATATCATTGTCCTGAAAATCATGATTGCTTT